TGCAATGATACCCTCTGGGATGTCAATATGTTCCCTCCCCTCCCCCCGTCATTGCCAGGCTCCGTTTCCGTCGTTGTCATCGCGATCCCTGGCACCTGCTGAATCATATCCTGGAAACCCGTCCCGCGTCTCGACCCCTGGAGCCTCGCATGCCACGCCTCCCCCTTGGCGCCCCTCCTCCCAAGGAAAACCCTCAGGCCAAGGCGCCCTCGCCCCCGCATCCACGCCATGCCCGTTCGTGGATGGTTTCTTCCACCGCGTTTTCTCCGCGTCCAAATTCAGTTTTGCCATCCCATGTCCTTGTCATTTTTTTTTCATTTCGGGCCCAGGGTCGTGTCAGGTTAAACGTGTTGGCTTGCGGTGTCTTCTGAATTTGGCCTTCGCGCCCACGTGGGGTCCGCGGGGAGCTGTCGTGCCGCTCCGTCTATGGGCACCGCTGCTGTTCCAGTTCAGCGGCGCGTCGCGTTGTTTTGTAAAACCCGACCCACGGGCCGTGCCAATATCCAAATTATTCAGCGTGGTGCGTTTGACCCCTGGTGCTGCAAGATAGACGGCGTCGTTCATACTCTGCCAGGGTTGTGTCTTCGAGCCCACATTGTAGCCTGGCTGATCCACGATGTGTTGGGCGCGCTGCTGTTACGCCGTCGCATGCGATGTTTCTTTTTGCGCGCCTGTCCGCGCCCGACCCTCCCCCGACCTACATTCGGGGTTTCTTTTTAGCTTCTTTTGCGAAAATGCCGAAACCTTTTTTGAACCTAGTTTGAACCTTTCTCGGTGTTTTCCCAACATGGGCGCCTCACCAGGGGACCCGACATCATAACTCTTGGAGCGTCTTGGGGGCCTCTTGGCGGTCCCGGGCGCCTCTTAGAGCGTCTTGGGTGCCTCGGAGAGCTTCTCGGGGCCTCTTGGGGGTCTCTTGGGGGCCTCTTGGAGGCCTCTGGGGCGCCTGTTGAGGCCTCCTGGGCGCCTCTTGGGGCCCTCTTGAAGCGCTCTTGCAACGCTCTCGGGAGCGTTGGGGGCGCTCTTGGAGCCCTCTTGGGCCATCTTGGAGTCGTCTTGAAGCCTCGGATGGCCATCGGAAGCGAAAAGGCGAGAAAGGCCAAAACATTGATTTTCCTGAGGTTTTTACCTAACAGCTCTTGCTGATAGGTTTCTAGTGGTCTCAAAAGAGAGCATCATGACTCCTCAGGGGGGTCTGGGCGGGACCCGGACAGGCTGCCGCCGAAGCCGAAATCGCTTTGGACATCCTCGCAAAATCGCTCTTGGTGCTCCCAGAACTCCATTCCCGGGCCACATTTTGGATGCCCGGAGCCAACTGTAGGCCACTTCGTGCTCTTCGACTTCCCAGAAATCCATTCCCGGGCCACATTTTGGATGCCCGGAGCCAACTGTAGGCCACTTCGTGCTCTTCGATTTCCCAGAACTCCATTCCCGGGCCACATTTTGGATGCCCGGAGCCAACTGTAGGCCACTTCGTGCTCTTCAAGTTCCCAGAACTCCATTCTTGGGCATGATTTTGAATGCCCGGAGCCAACTGTAGGCCACTTCGTGTTCTTCTAGTTCCCAGAACTCCATTCCTGGGCCACATTTTGAATGCTGAGGCAGGCTGATGCTGCAGGCTGAGGCTGAGGCAGGCTGAGGCTGAGGCTGCTGAGGCTGAGGCTGCAGGCTGAGGCTGAGGCTGAGGCTGCAGGCTGGCTGCAGGCTGAGGCTGAGGCTGAGGCTGAGGCTGAGGCTGAGGCTGAGGCTGAGGCTGAGGCTGAGGCTGAGGCTGAGGCTGAGGCTGAGGCTGAGGCTGAGGCTGAGGCTGAGGCAGGCTGCAGGCTGAGGCTGAGGCTGAGGCTGAGGCTGAGGCTGAGGCAACTGAGGACTGAGGCCGAGGCTGAAGGCAGACTGAGGCTGAGGCTGAAGCAGGCTGAGGCTGAGGCTGAGGCAGGCTGAGGCTGAGGCAGGCTGAGGCTGAGGCTGAGGCAGGCTGAGGCTGAGGCTGTGACTGCGACTGCCGTTGCCGCTGCGACTGCCGTTGTCGCTGCGACTGTCATCGCGAATGCGACTACGACTGCGAGAACAGCAGAATTCTACAACTGGATTTTCATCTGAATCTTAAGGGGAATACTTTCAGATATGCTTCTACACATCGCTGTTAGGTTGCAGGTTGCTTTGCCGGGATAATGGAAGGATTTTGGCCTCTTCGGGGCCTCCTGGGGGAGCTCTTTGGCCACTTGGAGCCGTCTTGAAGCGGCCTTGGGGCCTCTTGGAGCATCGTGGGAGCCATCTTGAGGCATCTTGGGATATCCTGAGCCATCTTGGAGGTCATCTTGGGCTCTCCCATGCGCTCTTGGAGTCATCTGAAGCAGCGCCCCCCCCCCCCCCCCCCCCAGGATGCCCAAATGTGGCCAAAACCTTAGTAACTTCAATGATTTTGGCATTCTCGCCGAGGCCTCTTGGAGCGTCTTGGGTGCCTCTGGGGGGCCTCTTGGGGCCTCCTGGGGGTCTCTTGGGAGCCTCTTGGGGGCATCCTGGGGGCCTCGTGGGGGCTTCTTGGGGCCACATGGGGCCATCTTGGGGCCATCTCGGAGGCTCTTGGGGCATCCTGGGCGCCTCTTGGGGCCATCTTGGAGGAGATCGATCACAGGAGGGGGGGGGGGCTAAATTAGCCTCCCCCTCTCAGGAGGCCAAAATGGGGCCAAAACCTTAGTAAAACCATTGATTTTGGCTTCCTCGCCAAGGCCGTTTCGGACGCTCCAACGCGTCGCGGAACCCCCCGCCCAGGTCCAGGGGAGGGGTTAGGGGGAGGGGTCAAGACTCCCTCGCCGCCCGCAAGCCGTCTCGCTCACTCCCACCCGCCCTCCCAACACATACGTAGCACCCGAGCCTGGCCCGAGCCGCAGCACATTCAGCAGTCGTCTTTGGATGGACAGCAACTGGGGGCAAATCCGCCGCCGCCGCCGCCGCCGCCGCCGCCGCCGCCGCCGCCCGCCGCCGCCGCCGCCGCGCCGCCGCCGCCGCCACCGCCGCCGCCGCCGCCGCCGCCACAGCCGCCGCCACCTCCACAGCCGCCGCAGCCGCTGCCCCCGCCGCAGCCGCCGCAGCCGCCGCCGCCGCCGCCAGTGTACTCTGTATTGAGGCCGCATCGGGTTCGCTGCGCATGCTCCGAATTTGGAGGCAGAGGGTGTTTCGTATTATTTGTTCAAAGCGATGGTGGGGGGGTGCCCTCATTGACTCGGGTAAACCCCTCCCGGAAGAGGAAGAGGAAACTCCCTAAACCACCTACGCCCAGAGGGCTGGTGGGATTCCTCCCCGAAGGGGAAGAGTGAAGATGGAAAAAAGAAACGTCCCAAACCACTCACGCCCAGAGGGCTGGTGGGTTACGTGCGCGTCGGCTCCGCAAGGGCGATGCGCGCGCTGAGAAATCTTTTACACACTCAGTGGCGAAAGCTTTCTGGCCATGCCGCTCGGGACTCGATATACGTACTATGTGTTCGTGTCCGACGTGCGCTTCCAACATCAGCGCAGCGGTGCGTCCTTCGGCGTCCCGTGAGAAGGGTAACGACAGGGCGGACCAGGCATCCCCGACTCTTGAAGAGTCCATGACGGAAGGCTTTGGGTAATTTTCACGCGCTTTCGTCGGGCCTTGGAGGCCACCCTGCATCGGGATTACCTCCAGCAGCTGCGCCTCTCCGAGAGCGTTCAGGGATTTCCCGAGTCGCCCCGAATGGCCGCCAGAGGCCCGAGTTACGGCTCGCAAGCTTCTTCCCTCGCGTCGCGAACAAAAACACGAAGGAAGGTTTGAGGCAGTTTTGGGCCTCCGGGGGCCCTCGCTGGGCCCCAGGACCGTCAAACCAGCGGCTCGGGAGGAAAAACCAGCCCCGCGGAAAGGGTCGGGACTTTTGGGGAGCCCGTCTTGAAGCCGCGAATCCGAGGCGGGGATTTGTCCACAGAGCCGCCTGGATGGTCGACCATGGGCGACGTCGTCGGGCGGCGGATGCGGACCTCCTCGGGCCCTCTGGAGGCCAGCTCTGTCCATCCACCGCCCGCCGGGGTCCCAGCACTTCGGCTCCACAGGCGGCGGATATGGACACATGCCCGCCCCCCCAGACGTGCATCGGATGCCTGGGGAGGCATTTAGGCTCCAGTCGCCCATGCCTCGCCCGCGGGAGCCCGTGCGTGCCAGCCTGCGCAGTGTCGCGGGGTCTCCCCGTCGGCGGCCGACTGCGCCGACCTGGCGGCGGCGACGTAGAGATGGGGGCCCGTGCCAAGGAGCACCCTGCCTGCCTCCAGGGTGCCTTGGGTTTCTTGGGTGTCGATGCTTTTGCCATGGGAGGCGTGACGCTCCCACACCAAAAATCCATGGACGTCCAGGGGTCTCAGGGTTGGGTTTCTTTTGGAAGGTCTTGTGGGCTGGCCTCCACTGTATCGTCGATTCCAGGTCATCGTGAGTCGGTCCCCCCCTCTTCGCAGGGTCCACTTCGATTTGATCGATCCGATGTGATGTCGATTCGGGCTGGGTCGACTCGGGCCGGCCCGGTCCGAGTCGATCCTTACATTCCGACGATCCGATACGGCCCGATGCTTGGCGCCGTCGTGCACCCTGGAACAGCCGATCCGATCCGACTTTCGACTCCGTGTGGATGTAGCCCGAGGCTCCCTGCCGCCGCCCGCGGCCGCGTCGGCCAGAGTGGCAACGTCGTCGTCGTCGTCGCCGTCGTCGCCGCCGTCGTCGCCGCCGTCGCCG